TACCTGGCAAGGTTATCACTTAAATTTGAAAGAGGAATTAAACAATTTCCAGATAAGCAAAAGCTGAGAGAATTTTCCTCCCACAAACAGACTCTACCCTGCATTTTGGAGGGACTGCTATAGATGGAAGTGTTCCTAACACTAAATAGCTGTCACCAGAGGAAATAAAACCACAGTAAAGTAAGTAGAACAATTAATTACTAAGCAAAACTAAAGCAACTACCCCCAAAGTCAGTCAAGGAATAGACTAAGAGTACAGAATCTGATACCTAATATATAAATAATTGCAGAGGAAGAAAAAGAACCCTAAGACTGTGTTTGTAATAGCATGCTAAGTGAGTTAGACTGTTAGATAGAAAGGGAATCCCTCTTCAACCTTTGATAACCACGAACCTAAAGCCTTACAATGGCAATAAGTACATACCTATCGATAATCACCCTAAATGTATATGGTCTGAATGCACCAATCAAAATACAGAGTCACAGAATGGATAAAAAAACAAGACCTGTTTAATGCTGTCTACAAGAGACTCACCTCAAACCCAAAGACATACACAGACTAAAAGTGAAGGGATGGAAAAAAGATATTTCATGCAATTAATAGGGAGAAAAAAGGAGGAGTTGCAGTACTTCTATCAGACAATATAGACTTCAAAACAAAGAAAGTCACAAGGGACAAAGAAGTACATTACATAATGATAAAGGGGTCAGTTCAACCAGAGGAGATATTATAAATATCTATGCACCCAACAGAGGAGAACCTAAATATGTGAAAAAAATACTAACTGAATTAAAAGGGGAAAAAAATGCAATACATTTATTTTAGGAGACTTCAATACACCACTCACTCCAAAGGACAGATCCACCAGACAAAAAATCAGTAAGGACACAGAGGCACTGAACAACACACTAGAACACATAGACCTAACAGACATCTACAGAACTCTACACCCAAAAGCAACAGGATACACATTCTTCTCAAGTGCACATGGAACATTTTCAAGAATAGATCATACACTAGCCCACAAAAAGAGCCTCAGTAAATTCAAAAAGATTGAAATTGTACCAACCAGCTTCTCAGACTACAAAGGTATGAAGTTAGAAACACAAAGAAATGAAAAGCCCACAAACACATGGGGCCTTAACAACATGCTCCTAAATAACCAATGGATCAATGACCAAATAAAACAGAGATCAAGCAATGTATGCAGACAAAGGACAACAATAATTCAACAATGAAAAATCTGTGGGAACGCAGCAAAGGCTGTGCTAAGAGGGAAGTATATTGCAATACAGGCCTACCTCAGGAAAGAACAATCCCAAAAGAACAGTCTAAACTCACAATTAACGAAACTAGAAAAAGAAACACAAATGAGGCCAAAAAGTCAGAAGGAGGGACATAATAAAGCTTAGAGCAGAAATAAATAAAATCGAGAAGAATAAAATAATAGAATCAATGAAAGCAGAAGCTAGTTTTTCAAGATAATAAATAAAATAGATAAACCCCTAGCCAGACTTACCAAGAAAAAAAGAGTCTACATATATAAACAGAATCAGAAATGAGAAAGGAAAAATTGCTATCAACACCACAGAAACACAAAGAATCAAGAGAGAATACTGTGAAAAATTATATGCTAACTGGATAACTTAGAAGAAATGGACAACTTTCTAGAAAAATACAACCTTCCAAGGCTGACCCAGAAACAGAAAATCTAAAAAGATCAATTACTAGCAACGAAATTGAACTGATAATCAAAAAACTACCTAAGAACAAAATCCCAGGACCAGACAGATTCACTGCTGAATTTTATCAAACATTTAGTGAAGACCTAATATCCATCTTCCTTAGAGTTTTCCAAAACGTAGAAGAGGGAATACTCCCAAACTCATTCTATGAGGCCATCATCACTTCAATAGCAAAACAAGGCGAAGACACCACAAAAAAAGAAAATTACAGACCAATACCCCTGATGAACATAGATGCAAAAATATTCAACAACATAAAAACAAACAATTCAAAAATACACAAAAAAGATCATCTATCATGATAAAGCAGGATTTACTCCAGGGATGCAAGGACGGTAGAACATTAGAAAATCCATCAACATCATCCAACACATCAACAAAAAGATGGACAAAAACCACATGATCATCTCCACTGATGCTGAAAAAGCATTTGACAAAATTCAAGATTTATGATAAAAACTCTCAATAAAATGGACATAGACGGCAAGTACCTCAACATAAAAAAGGTCATATATGTCAAACCCACATCCAACATCATACTTAATAGCAGGAAGTTGAAAGCGTTTCCTTTAAGATCAGGAACAAGACAAGGATGCCCACTCTTCGCACTTTTATTCAACATAGTACTGGAGGTCCTAGCAACAGCAGTCTGACAACACAAAGAAATAAAAGGCATCCAGATTGGCAAGGAAGAAGTTAAATTGTCCCTGTTTGCAGATGATATGCTACTGTACATAAAAAAACCTAAAGAATCCACCCCAAAACTATGAGACCTAATATCTGAATTCAACAAAGTTGTGGCATACAAAATTAATACACAGAAATCTGTTGCTTTCCTATACACTAACGATGAGCAGAAAGAGAAATCAGGAAAACAATTCCATTCACAATTGCATCAAAAAGAATAAAATACCTAGGAATAAACCTAACCAAGCAAGTGAAAAACCTATACTCTGAAAACTGCAAGACACTCATGAGAGAAATTAAAGAAGGTAACAATAAATGGAAATAAATCCCGTGCTCATGGATGGGAAGAATTAATATTGTCAAAATGGCTATCACGCTAAAAGCAATATACAGATTCAGTACAATCCCTATCAAAATACCAACAGTATTCTTCAACAACTAGAACAAATAGTTCTAAAATTCATATGGAACCACAAAATAGCCAAAGCAATCCAGAGAAGAAAGAATAAAGCAGGGGTGGGGGGGACTACACTCCCCAACTGCAAGCTCTACTACAAAGTCACATTAATCAAGACAATTTGGTACTGGCACAAGAACAGACCAATAGACCAATGGACCAGGCGAGAGAGCCCTGATATAAACCCAAGCATATATGGTCAATGAATATAAGACAATGGAGCCATGGACATACAATGGAGAAATGACAGCTGCTTCAACAACTGGTGTTGGCAAAACTGGACAGCTACATGTAAAGAAAATGAAACTGGATTATTGTCTTAATTCCATACAGAAATGTAAACTCGAGATGGATCAAAGACCTGAATGTAAGCCATGAAACCATAAAACTCTTAGAAAAAAACACAGGCAAAAATCTCTTGAATATAAACATGAGCAACTTTTTCGTGAATGTATCTCCTCAGGCAAGGGAAGCAAAAGCAAAAATGAACAAACGGGACTACATCAAGCCGAAAAGCTTCTGTACAGCAAAGAACACCATCAGCAGAACAAAAAGGCACCCTACAGTATGGGAGACTATATGTGTAAACGACCTATCTGACAAGGGGTTCACATCTAAAATATAAAAATAACTCACACACTTCAACACACAAAAGGCAAGTAACACCATTAATAAATGGGCGGAGGATATGAACAGACAGTTCTCCAAAGAAGAAATACAGATGGCCAACAGGCACATGAAAAGATGCTCCATATCGCTAATTATCAGGAAAATGCAAATTAAAACCACAATGAGATATCACCTGACACCAGTAAGGATGGCCAACATCAAAAAGTCTAGGAACAACAAATGCTGGCGAGGATGTGGAGAAAGGGGAACCCTCCTACACTGCTGGTGGGAATGTAAACTAGTTCAACTATTGTGGAAACCAATATGGAGGTTGTTCAAAAACTGAAAATAGAAATACCATTTGACCTGGGAATTCCACTCCTAAGAATATACCCAAAGAAAACAAGTCCTCAGGTTCAGAAGGACATATGCACCCCTATGTTTACTGCAGTGCTATTTACAATAGCCAAGATACTGAAGCAACGTAAGTGTCCATCAGTAGATGAATGGATAAAGAAGATGTGGTACATATACACAATGGAATTATATTCAGCCATAAGAAAGAAACAAATCCTACCATTTGTAACAACATGGATGGAGCTGGAGGATATTATGCTCAGTGAAATGAGCCAGGCGGAGAAAGACAAGCCAAATGATTTCCCTCATTTGTGGAGTGTAACAACGAAGCAAAACTGAGGGAAGAAAATAGCAGGAGACTCACAGACTCTAAGGGTCTAGAAGTTACCAAAGGGGAGGGGTGGGAAAGCGGGGGTGGGGAGGAAGGGAGGGAGAAGGAGATTGTGGGGTATCATGATTGGTGCACCTGGTGTGTGTGTGGTCACGGGGAGGACAGTGTAGCACAGAGAAGACAAGGACGGACTCTGTGGCATCTTACTACACTGATGGACAGTGACTGCACTGCGGTATGGGGTGTACTCGATAATAAGGGTGAATGCAGTAACCACATTGTTTATCTCGTGAAACCTTCATAAGACTGTATATCAATGATACCTTAATAAAAAAAATGTTAATAAGTAAAAGAAACCTTAGACATAGTGCATTCAAAGCCATTTATCAGATTTCAAAGTAGAAGTCCAGAATGCAGAAGCAACATTTTAAAGTTACAGTTAAACAGCAAAAAAACTAGTTCAGCTGCCTTTTTCACTCTGTAACATTTTAAGTTTAGAATTATAGGAACTTCACACACACACACACACATATATGAAGTGCTCTGATCCCAAATTCAACTTAAATTTTTTCTGATGGCCTTGATCGTTTTAAAAGGTAACACACATCTATCACAACAATCTTTCCATAAAGCATTTTATAATTACAAACAAAACACATTTTCTCAAATGTGTCTCCTAACAAAAAAATTGAGATAGCAACATTTTCTGTTCACTCATAAATTATTTTTCCCTAGCTGAGCAAGCAATATTGCCAAGGGTGATTCACTTTGGAACAAAGTCTATATAAAAATATGAAATAATCTGAGGAATACCTGAAGTAGAAGCAGCCATCCTCCTTGTCATCTTTTATTTTATTACAACTAAATGTTTCTGCCTAGAAAGGGAAGCATAAAAGGGGAGGGAGAAATCACAAACATTTAACATAGTACATTTAGGATGAAAATTATATTACCTTTACCAAATGGGAATACAGATCACATCTGGATTTAAAAATACACACACACGCACACACGTACACACACACACACACACACACGCAGATGCTCGAGGTACATACCTTTATAATGCATTTAAGACACAACAGTGAGATTAGTTATAGTGGAAAGAGTTATTATTAAGGGCACTCAATAGATCTCTATCGTGGTGATATAATTTTAAGGCAATAGCTTGATGGGACTGATGGTATAAATTAAGGAAGCTAGTTACCTAAAGAGATGATTAAAATGAACCATAAATCCTGGAAGGCATTGTTAAATTGGGACCCTCTGATATAGTTTAAGGCTGAGTTTTCAACTTGAGATTTATTTAGATTTGTACTGTACAGTACAGTAGCCAATAGATACATGTGGCTACTAAGCACTTGAAATATAGTTGGTCCAAACTAAAATGTGGTGTAAGCATAAAATAAATAACAAATTTCAAAAACTAGGTAAGACAAAATAATATGTCTCATTAGTGCATTTGAAAATACTGAGTACAAGTTGAAACAATTTTTGATATATCAGGTTAAAACTACATTAAAATTAATTTTCTTTTTTCTTTTTACATTTTTAATGTGGCTAGCAAAAAAAATCTAAATATCACGTGTGACTCACATTATGTTTCTATTGGATTGTGCTGCTTTAGAACTTCAAACTGTTGTCACCTCTACCCTCTGCTCTATCCTGTAAGTCTATCTCAAATCTCTCTACCAACTACTTTTCTGTATTATTTCTTAGTGATATTTAATGGCTTTTTGCCTGTGGATTGTCCTTTAGAAGAGATGATATTAAAATATAAAGTATCTTAAGGAAACATCAAATGCAGGGTACTCTTCAATAGCATCCACACCTAATTTTGAAATGTACTATGATATAATTTTTTTTTAAATCCTAAGTGATGAAGTGGGTTAATTTCTAGTTCTCTAATACATACATACTGCATTTTGACATTAAATCACATTATTGTAAGAGCTAGTTTTAATTTCTAAAGTGCTTTCCAGGACTCACATTTGTTGGTTGTCGGTTTCCACTGTTAGACAGCTGCCACATTTTCATGGAAATACGTGCTGGATTAATATTTTTAATGATACTGTCATCTTCAGAAATAATCGTAACAATAAAATCTGTCAAGGTGAACAAAAAAAAATTTTCTTTCTAGTTCAATTAATGGATTTGGTTAAATAATTGTATGTCTTAAAACATACATCTCACTTAAGTGTTCATAAAAATATTGTGATGAAGAAAATGGAGCTATTCTTTATCAGCATTCCCCCAAAATTTATCTATAAAACTTACTAATCATGACAGACAACTCTCTAGTGCTAAATTTCCCCTGGAAATCTAATGCAGACATCTTTGGTATTAATAGTCCCTTATTTTCACAGTCTGCAATGCTTTTAAGTTCTACCATGTAAGACCAAAAAGGTTAGACTGGGAAGCTCAGCAACCTAGAATTAGGGTAACTAGTATAAGTCCATATGCATTATGCATCCAAGAATACAATGACTATTTTCTTTCATGATTTTCAATAGCTTACAGTAGCTAAACTATAATTACATATAATACTTTTTCATCTGTGACATTAAATACCTGTTAGTTTCTTATTCACAGGGAGTAGGTCTTATCTTCCTAGATTTAAAGACAATGTATATGTGAAACTTAATTAAAAACTGTTAATTTTTTAATCTAAATTTTCTGGTTTACTTCTTTCAACTGCTTGTAACTGTGTACAGAAATTGATTCAAGGAAACAGAAGTGTTCAAGAAAATAACCTATATAAAGCAAATACTATTTCTTATTGACTTGGCACCTGCCACACTACACTGAAATCATCTCCTACACCAGGCAGAACTCACTGAAAATAGCCATATATTCATTATTGGAACAATGAAACCAGTACAGTGCCCCGAGAAAATAGGTACTTAGTAAACATTTTAAAATATCTCTCATCATAAATTCGGATGTGATGTATTTCCATCCAAATTAAACAATCCTGGTTCTGTTTGGTTTAAGGTGACATCACAACATATTTAATAGAGTCTGTCACAGTTCTCCCTATTTATCAGTTACTATTTCTTTTGCAGAATTTCATAATTTAGTGAATGAGCAAGCTGAATTAGCTTAGTCTATCAGTTTCCATTATGAACTTAAAGTTCATTCTTGACCTTTTAAAGAATGTAGGGTATAGGAGTGAGAGAAGACAAAGCTAAGTCAAATGTATTTTTTTTTCTGCCATACAGGTTTGTTTTTTTGTCATGTTGAACATGTAGGATAAAAAATTTATTCTACTAATGTAAAAAGCAAATTATCATTACAAATAAATTTAAAAGCTGAATTACTCACCAGTAAAAACATCCCCTGCTAAAAAGGAAGCATCTTTGTCATATTTAACATTGAGACGAATAGGTTTTTCTGGGTCTGGAAGAATCATCAACTTAATTAAAGGTCCATCTATGATATTCTTGTTATACGTGGCTCTAATTTGCATATTGTGTAGTCCTCTAAAAAGGAAAAAAAGGTGGGGTTCAAATTACATTAGTTATAACCTCAAAATTTTTAACACAATTTATACAGAGTTTAATTCATTTAAGAACACCTTCTAAAACTAAATAGAAGGCTAGTTATTACCTTTAACTTTACCAAGTAATAAGAAAAATCAATTTCTATAATACTAACTATCAAACTTTTGATTCTTACCTAGGGGCATAAACAGTGAATACTCCCAAATTAGCCCTGCCCCTTTCATCTGTTTTATGCTGTTGGTTTGAAGGAGTCAGCTGAAAACAAAACAAACAAAACAGTTAATTAGAAAATTCTAGAGATCAAATTCTTTTTGACTATTACTGTGTTCTTTTCCCCTAGTACTATTTAAAAATTTGCATTTGCACACACTTCTAAAAACAGTAGTTTTCTAATATGAACTAAAGCAGTGTAATGTGTAATCACATAAGCCAAAGGATACTAATCACTCATCTTTATCAACTAAGCTAGAATTCAGTGTATTTCAGTTATTAAATTAAACAAGTCAATGTTCACTGTTTTGATATAAACAAAATTTGTATAATAAATACTGAAGGTATATTCCAAAACTGGGGGATGTGGAGGATGCCGCAAGAAAAATAAACATCAATATACACACATACGTTTAAGTCAAGGCATCATAATACAATGTCCATTGTTATTTAATTTTTCTCCTGTTTACTCAGATATGCTTCTTAAATCTTTGTTGCAACCCTACGTTATAGTGATAACCAAGCTTTCATTGTCAAGTGATTAAAAATCAGTGGCCACATTTCCTAATAATTGCTTAGAAGAATCTCTCAGCCTTTTGCACATGCTTCTCTAGAAACCAGAATCATACTCTTATCTGGTATAGAAAATAATCACTGTACAACTTTTCAAGAAACAAGCATTAAGAACCAAAATGAACTTGTAAGGCAGAATATCAGACTCTCTCCTAAACCCTAATACCCATTTCTGCTTAATGGAACTGAAAGATTTGGCAAAAGTATCCAAAGAGTTTTAAGGGCAAAAAAATGAGGAGTAATTAAAATGACAGAAGAAAGTCCTTTGTACCTGTCATATTTACCTTCTGCTCCATTGTCTCTCACTTAATTCATCTTCCTCAAAATTCTGTCTGGATCCTAAATTCTTGCTGTTAAACCAGAGAAGCAAGTCTTCTATTTCAGGCTGTATAGTAGCAATACTGTAGTTTTTAGTTTTATTTTGATAGGCTTAAGACCTCTGACCCTGATTACTTTACAAGTCTATGTGGATCAGAAGCCATTCTTGGCACTTTAATCTCCTATCTGACTTTTAAGATCAATTTGTTGGGTTATTGGGGAATTCCTGCTGGGATTCTTATTGAACTAATGGATTAATTTCAAGTGAACTGTGTACTTACACATTATCAACTGTTTTCATCCACTAAAATTATAAAATGTTTGTGGAAGGAGACTCAAGAGTGGCTGAATATAACTCCAGAAACTCTCTCTGGCAACAACTGGCTAGAACAAATAAATTCTCTTCAACCAACAGAAGGGACTGTGTGAAAAATACAACTTTGCAAGGGACTGGCAGCTTCCCCCCTTTCCCTGCATAGGAGGGCCTCCAAGTTTGCACCAGGTGTCTGAAGTCTCCGTTAGATCCTAAATCCTAAGCAGCAGCTAGCTATCCTAATACTCATGCAAATTAGTACCTAATCTTGGATTTCCTGGTATCCAAGCACCATGTTTGCTCCCAAACACTGCAAGGCCATGTTCATGCTTGCCGTGTACCCTAGAACACAACCCATTGTAGGTCTAGCAGCTATGTTCAGGCCCTGGGAACACTGCATTAGGTAAGCAGAGGACAGGTACTCACATGACTCTTTGTGCTTACCCTCAGGCTTGTAAGTTTCCCCAATAATGTTCCTCAACCCACACTACAGGTCATTAAATCTGACTTCATTCACCTTGTCAGTGTTATCTATTCATCCTAATCTGAAATCCAAGTACTATTAGTATTGTATAATAAACATTCAGATAGTCAAAATTGTAGAATGTTATCCCTTGTTACACTGTTTGCAAGATACAAAGTTTAATTCCTCAAAATAAAGAAAAATCTTTAGGTTGATTTAAACTAGCAATAATTACAGCTGTATAATTCCATATTAAAAAGAGAGAGATAACCCCTAAAGACATCATCATGAGAATGAAATCAGAATTTTAAGTGAAAAAATTTTAAGAACATCGAAAACTTACCTTTAAATTGTTAGGTTTTAGAAGACTTATTTTAACCTGTGGTACAGGTGCTGGATTATCCCACTGGTCACAAAGTTGAACAGTGAGAGGATTCTGTAATTCTCTTCCATTAATCACTGGAATGGACTGAAACAGGTAATAAACATTTTAAGAAGCACTAAAACATATGTGCCAAACGATATACTGATGACTTAATTTATCCCATTCTATTCACAAATGGCTTCTTTCATCAATTAAACTTTATAAACAAAATGGTCCCCTTCTATAGAAATGATCGATACTGATATAAGGCAAAAGATCATTTGGCATTATTGGCTTCTAAAGTTCCTATAAGTTACATAGCAGAATGACTTCAATAGAAACAGAAGCTTATCTTAGGTTCTCAGATTTAGCATTGGCTATCTATAACATTTCAGGATTTCAGTTATCTCATTTATAAAGTAAGAATGACAATAATATATCATAATGTTGCTGAAGATTAAATGAGATAATATGTATATATTTTTTTCTTCTATATATTTTGCTTAGGTGTTAAGTCAGTTCCTCTTTTCCACTTAAGAGTCCTTTGTGGGGGAAGGTGTGTCAAGAATTAAGGTAGGAACTTTTACAAAAACCAGATATTCGATGATTACTTTTCCAGCCTTAGCTACCTACATATGATCATATCTCTAACAAAAATTAGTTTTAGGTTTTATTTTTAAAGGTTCTGGATATCTATGGTATCTGCAAATAATCTTCTAATTAAAATTTTGAGTTAACAAGCTGTCATTAGTTTCAAAATACTCTCCGCCTACAAAATCACATAAAAAAATGAACATGTCCAGATTTTTCCCACTTCAAAGGTAAATAACAACTTCATGATATAATAAATCAATAAATTCTTTATTGACATCACTAGGCACAAAGAATGTATTAATTTATGTAATATAAGTGCTTCCAGGGAAAAGTAAATATTCTGGCTTTTCAGTGAAACTTTAGTCAGCACACTATTACAGCAAAAAGCTTTTAAAGCACACTGTCATACACTAGTTTACCTGGGTTTTTTTAAACTCACAATCAAAATGGGCAAATCTCAAACTTCCTGTACGGGTGGAATTTCAACTATTACCATGGCCATGTGGGTTCATTTTCCTTTGAAAAAAATCTAAACTGTCATAGCTATAGGTAAAGCCCTACTAGACCATAACTGAGTGCTCAAATCTAAACACTTTAAAATTGGAATTAAAAAAACTCAGTAAGAACTTAACAAAGGTACAGATTTGAAAGATATTTGTAAAAGTAAGATTAAACTACTTGCATAGGAAAGCATACCAAAGTTTTTATGGGTATAATGATTTGATACCTGAGATGCTTTTTAAAACTCCAGCAAAAAGTTTTTTTTTGAGTCAATAAGGGAGAATGATGAAACAAAATTGGCAAAAATCAGTAACTGTTGAAACTAGATATTCACTATACTGTTTTTATGCATGTTTGAAAATCTCTGTAATGAAGTTTTTAGGTTTTGAATTATTACACTTTTTAAACAAAATGGTGGAGACAGTGATGAAGTAAATGAACATTAAGAATCATATTACTTTGCCCTGTTATCAGTGTTATTGTTACTAATCTATTCTGACCCACTGACAATTTCACAGTAATAAGCCATATGATATTAAATTCTTTCAATCATGGCAGGAAGTTACTTACCTCCTTTAATTCCGGCCAGTCTATAAGGAGAAGTTTAGCTGGTGGTCCAGAAATTAGCTGCACTCGAATAAAGTCAGAAAACTCACGCCACGTAAAACAAAGATCCTTATTTCCAGGAGGACCTGGAATAAATTTGATGCCTCTTACACTTATACTTTGTGTATTTTCCTAGTGAGGAAAAGTATATGAGAAAAGACAGGGAAATAACATTTAGCTCTCAATAAAATGAAAGAAAATGTTGTCATTAACCCATGTGCATACAGAAGTGTTTCTGGGTAAAACAATGGCAAATAACTTGTACACATGCCTATACTGGAATATCATTCATTTCATTTTCCTTGAGAGAAGAAACTGAATTTCTGTCTTGTAAGGAAGAGATCTAACATATACCCTTGTACCATGCAAGGGTATATGTTTGCCCAATGCCCTTTGCACTTACTTTTTCCCTTTGTTTTTAACATTTTTTACCAGATTTCAACATGACTTTTTTTGCACCTTAATCAGAGCGGTCTTGCCTGACCACCCTATAAAAAGGCACTCTATTCTCTTACTCCTCTTTATTTTTCTTACCACTCATTTCTTACCTATTACATGCTTGCCCCATCACAAGGGGATCCCAGAAAGGTAGGGGCTTTGATTTGTCTCTGGTACTTAGAATCCCTAACATATCACATTAAGGGAATCAATGAAACTAGCCTGTAATTTTTGCAATGTGATTGAATGGTATAAACTAATTCCATGCTGGCATGAGCACTGTAGTATCTGCATTTTAATACTGATCCTTAATAATTTCACCATCTCAAATTTCCACTAGGTACAAACTATCCCTTCAGATTTTAAAAATTGGTTAAAATTCCATGTTTTATGTTCTGAAACAATTGCTTGTAGACTATTTTCTGTAAAAAGACACTGCCAAATAATCAAAATTAGTCTTCCCCAAAGTCCCAGTAAGCACAGGGGAATTTTTCAATATCTGAAAAACAAATACTCATTAGTCAAACATACTAAAAGTTCAAAAATGTGTAAAGTCTAACCCAGAATTTCACATTTATTAGTGAAACACCAAAACCTTTTGAAGAGGTCATGTTGGAAGTTACTCTGGTTTTACTGGAAATCTTGAAAATAAAATTTGTATATGCATTTACATATTGTAGATGGATACACATAGAAATATAAAACCTGAAAGGCACCCTAAGGCCTAATGTTGAAATTATCAAAAGAATATACTTCAGAATAGTAGCACATTTTATGTAGATGCAGAAATGATTTTAAGAAACTGATGTATGAAACTACTTTTTATTTCACAAAGTTACTTTGTTTTTTAATTGTTTTATTTTTTATAAAACAGATGGTTCCATTTTCTTTTTGCAGAGACTGGGGGTAGATTCCTGTTATTTGAAAATCGGTCAAAATAGTACATATAAGTTGTAAAATGACATTTGGAAGAAAGAAAGTCAACTTGCCTGGAGAATAATGAGCTATGGGAGAAGAAAGGTATGAAATTATGCTACAGTAGAATACTATAGAGTATTCTATGCCATACTAAGGTGATAGTCTAAATTTATAATGTAAAATGCTATAGGTCTGACAGCACTAAGATGAGAAATGAAAACTGAAATGGATTTGGTCAGGTGAAAAAGGGCAGAAAAAAATGAAGAGATTGGCTTGCCTGGGAATGACAGAAAAGGTTATGAAAACAGATAGGATATACAACTCTTCCAAGGAGTTATACTATAAAACGAAGGAAAACAGGACAAGGGATTCAGGGCTAAAGATGGTAGGGCCTTTTGGGGGGTGGTTAGGAGGGATTGTTTTTTCAGATGACAGATATTTTATCATGTTTATATGCTGATGAAAATAGACAAGGAAAACTGAAGATACAGGAACACAGGTTATACTTTAAGAGCAACTAATGAAAGGGGATGGAAATCTGTGCATAAGGTGAAAGGAAGCAAGGATTGTTCATGAATAAAGGTAGAGGCACAGTTATTGTCTGATTTCATCTACACACAGGGTAAGCTAGATAATGGAAGAACCTGAAAGTCAAAGAGCAAACCTTATCTTCTGTACAAAACATCATTAAAAGTTCTGTAGCAGTGCTGTAAGATACAATGAAAGTGGTGTTCTGAAAACTAGAAAGTAACAGCATAACAGATCAGTGGAAACAGAAAGTCCAGTTAAGATGGGCAATGAGGAGGTTATCTATGTTACTCTGTCAGGTAAAAACTGTAATGGAGGCTCAACAAGGAAGAAGAGTTTTGAACAGCTCTAAATGGATTCAACTTTACTTGGGCCTTAGAATTCTTCCCACCTCATCTACTCTGACCTGGTAGTTCCTTGAAGGTACAACTCAAACATCTCCTTTTCCAGAAAGTTCTCTTTGATATCTCCAAGCAGCATATATCAAGTTTGCCTGTTCTATACTGAAATAATTCCACCAGGGTTCATATTTTTCAAGCTATTCTCAATTAACTGCACAAGCTAATCTCAGTTAGTTGCAAATTTTCAGTTTTCTCCCTAGCATACTGTTTAATGCAAGGTGTGAAAACTAAGAAATTCTATTTAAACAGCTACATGAAAAACTAATTTTACATACATACTAAATATTTATGGATGAAATATGACATATGGAATCTGCTTCAAAATAATAAGGGGAAAGTGATGCCTACTGAAGTTGAGTGATGAGAACATGAGAATTACTCATTAGTGTTTTCATTCTATTTTTTCCATATGTTCAAAATTTTTCATTATAAAATGTTTTTTAATGCCTTTTATGATTCTTCATTGTAAGCATTAAAATCACATTTCTTTTAGTTATTTTGTTTTTCCCAAATTTTGTTATATATAAACCAATGATATAAGCCAACTGTTTTGAAAAGTAGCCATACCTGAAAAGCAGTTTTCAAATGTGAACTATCAAGTCCAATCCCAGCAATTCCCAAGGCAGATAAAGAATTTGGTGAAAATGCCTGAATCTGATTTCCATACTGATCTGTAACTATTATAACTATATAAAAAAGGAAAGTTTAAAGCATTATATTTTGATAAAAGATAAATATCTACAAAGTTAAAATGCTTAGAAACATGCTCTAAATTTTATTCTCTTAATTTTTATAAAAAATTATACACACTTCTATGCACTACAAAATACATCAAGAACCTACGTAAGCACGTTTATATTTATATATTTAACATGATGTTGATGTTAATCAGATTTTTACCATGAAAATATGATAAAATAATTTAGTATTTTGTAATATCCTAGATACAAGAAAATTGTAAGACACATATGAATCCACCTATGTATTTACACTTTTAATATTAACTATAATTACTTCTAACAAAACCCAACATTTTTCCAATGAACTATTTTTGCCAAACTGAAATCCATGAAAATATTGATATTGTCAGTGAAAAAGTGATAGTGAAAAGACTTCAATCTTTCAAAACAATGGATTTTAAACCAATAATCATATATAAACTCAAAGATTTCTTTTAAGGTTATATTGCCAAAACATGAATATAAGGACATATATTATACAATTATTTAAAAGAAAGAAAGCAGGCCATACTAACCTATTTCCCCTTGAAGCTCTTGGCCCATCTGTACTGTTTTCCCTCCTTTTAACTCACATTTTAGATGTTTAGGTTCATCAGGGAGTGGTCTAAAATTGGTTAACAAGTTAAAAGGCTTTAGTTACACCATTAATTGTAGAAAAAGATGAGTTTCAATATGCTAAAGAGTAATATATATATATATCACTCACTTTCTCACTTAAATACAGTAAGACCCCTCCCCCAAATACCTCTATTTATAAACATTACTATTAACCTAAAAGGAAGGCGAGAAAAGAGCTTACAAAGATAGTAGAGAATACTGAGAGAAAAAAAAATTACAGAACTGTGAATGCTATTATCTATGCTGGATTAAAAAGAAATTATGACAAGAGCACACTGCGAAAGAAAAGATAGGTCAGGAAGAATAACTCATCAAGAGATCTGCTGTGGCTGGTGAGCAGCACACCTGAAAACACCTCAAACACGGAACTATTCTTTGTTGGGAACAGTATGGAGATGGGTAGAGGAATTAAAAGTAAAGGCTGTTACTGGAAAAGAGGCGGCAGGCCAGAGTGAAAGACAGGTTTCTTACATATTTACTTCAGTCTTCCCCTTTGTTATCAGCTCTACATATCAGGTCCAGTTGTCCTTAGCTTTAAAAATAATCACTCGCCAATGAAGACTTTTTCCTTGTGAACACACTAACTGACCACTCTGTATCTTTTGTACTTTTCATGACCTTGTCATTTTGCAGGTATTTTCACTATTGCTTGCACAAGGAGGATTTTCCTTTAATAAAAGTTCTAGTTCTCACAGATACTAGACAGCCAATTAAGCATAGGGTTATAGTGATATTAAAAATTAATCACTATCTCCAGTGAAGCTTTCTTATAAAGAAACAACCTACCATTATTTCACTGAAATGATGGTATTTTTCTACATTAACAACTTCTACATGTGTGCTTCAGAGGAAAGTATTTTTACTGCCATATGCTGAATTTGTAAATACCTATAATGTAATATGCCCACAAACCTTACTGTAAATGCACTTTCCAAAGATACATGATCGTCTTGGAATGAAACCTGGCAATAGCGCATATCTTTTACAGATGTTGGCACTTGTACATCAGGAAGCAGCCCTTGTAGCAAGTGTTCTTTGTTAATCTCAGGTGTCCAGTTAACCTAAAAGAAAAACTGTATGGTTAAGAACAATATCAAGCCTAGCCTAATACCCTCCTAATGCCACCTATCTTACTGAAGACTCAATTAAAATTCAACTAAAATCCACTTGCCTGACCTCCAATGAAAAAGAAAGTTCCTTTATGGCCAGAAATTAAGGTAATTCATATATTACTTTAAGCATCTTGTCTTTGCTGTTAATGTTACCATAGCTTTCAATGAACAAAATTTAAAAATCTTCGGTCATGTCTTTAAAGTTTTGCCACAGGATTATCACTATGGTAATTATAATTTAAAACTAACATAGATCAAATCCTGTCATCATTTATGAGAGGTAACATTCCATTGCTTTTTTTTTTTTAAATCATCTTAATATGGGCTTTGAATGAGATCTAGGCAGACCCTTACTCAGCATGATGAGAAAATGTTGAGTTCCACTGATGTAATTACCATTCTGGACACCTTTTGGTCTTAATCTATTCTTGGATGTGATGCTTTTAATTTTACAGCCTTTACATCCTGTATTTTGTTACCCAATCCTTTTTTCTTAGGTTGATTAACCAAGTCTATCTTACTAACTTCCAATCTTTTCTATTTAAGAATTTTTAGCTTGTCTGCTTCTAGTCTTCTGTTAGTTATATTTTCAAATCACTGACAATCTAATATTTTGATCCCAGTTTATGCTGTTCTAACATTTATAGTCACTTTTTTATCTTTTGAAACCATCTTTTCTTATTTTTAAATAATGGAAGAAGCAAATGCAAGCAAGAGCTATGCAAAAAGGCTTTCTTCCCTCACCCTAGTTGTGCTACCTCTTTACTATTCTCAGATCAGTTCTGGTTGACTTTCCTCAATACTGGAGCATTTTCTGAAAACAAAAATTATTTTAAAGACTATACTTCCAAATTAATAATAGCAGTATTTAATATCTTTTATTGTTAATAAAGAGGTGCATGTTTTAAAATCTTTGGTACCCAAGAAACTTATGTTAACTACTAGCTTGAAGCAAAAATGTGTCAACTGCAGGCCACAAACTTAAAGAGGCACAATGATTACATACAGGGAGAGGCTCTCCAGTCAATGTTTCTTTTAACTTTGATAAAAAACCAGAATGTGGGAACATTATTATGAGAAAGCAAGGTACCAGTTCAGAAGCCTGGCTCATGGCACCACTTTTAAACCACACCTTCAAATCTGCTGAAATAGATAAAAATGGCTTGCCTCTCCTTCCAAGCAGGATCAGTTACTTTCCTCTCAATCCTCCTCTTCCCTCATTATGGAGGGAAAGATCAAACTGGCTAGAGCAAGAGTTATTTCAAGTAAGATTTGAAAAATAAGATTGCTTGAATCCCTGTTAAATGATTCTTTTAAGATATAAGATCCAATATGTGGAAACTCAGGATGGCTATAGGCGGTAATGGTACAAAAGAGTAATTTCTACATCTGTCCCACCAATAGCGACTCTCCAAAAATTTAGTTAATTTGGATCCCTTACATAAGAGTCTATAAATATTGGCTTTCCAGAGATAGGGAGATGTTTATATGTAACTGAGCTAGGTTAAAACTGGATTTTTAGAAAATTATTTCCTCAACACAAGATTTGAGATGTTTTTATTCTAGGGATATCAAGAAAAATAACAGTTCTGCTCTGTTTGGTTTGAAAATGCAAATTTGTTCCTATGTAATTAAAATAGGGAACAATGTGAGTATGAAACACATTTTACTTTTGGATTATGCACAATTTCATCCGTGACAATAGCTGGACACAGAAAACTGAACCCAGCTAAACTAAAATACATAGACATACACAAAAAGACACACCTCAAACACCTACCAGCTGCCAGACCTGGTAGTGCATATATAGGGGAGTTTCTACCTCTTCACAGTAATGCACACACTGCAACCCTTCCTGCATCCACTTTCACAAATAAATTAAATGGCCATATTATTATAGTGTTTATGGACTTGGTATTTATTATGTGTTACTATTACTGCTTTGGTACTACTTTATTATTTTCCTAACTTTTTTTAAAAAAATGGGTAACTGATGAAGTTTGAGTATTGTGTCTCTAACTCCCCTTTTCCCCAAAAGCCATGTGATTTATATAGCACAGTGATTTTAAGGAATGAATGTGTTTCACTATAGCAAAAAGGACTGTACTTTGAAAGGAGCAAGCATAGAATTCTCACTGTTCTTTCAGTCAATCGTAAGAGTGCTAGAGCAGTCTACTCATGTGGAAGGAATGTTTTGATTTGGTTGTCTATTAAATGAGATGTTAGTTTCAACATATAGATTCATCCCATCAAGGTGCAAATGATATATTTAGATTACATAAGTTGGAAGAGGACCAGCTGAAGATCCAAAAACTGACAAAGCTGTTTCATGCTTTTAGAATGGTATACGTATTTTCAATGACCAAATCAGGGCTCTGTGGTTAACAATAATGTTTCATGGTTTGCCTTTAACAGACCCTTTATTTAGTGCTTTCAGGACAGCTACAAATAAAATGCTTTGGTAAGGTCTTGACTGTGACTACAGAAATACAGTTGGTCAGAAAGTGTATAGTGAAATTAAATGCCAAAGATTGGAATTTCCCTTTTTTCTTTAAGAATCAAAATCATTTTTCTAAGTACAAATTTGTCACACATAAATCATTCACATTTCAAAGGCATTAAAAAAATTCTCATTTAGCCTGGAATTCTAATTAATAGTATTATTTTTCTATGATAGGCTTCTTCTTGGAGGCTATCCTGTAAAACTTGTTCAGCGTCATCTGTCCAAGCATAAAATGGGCAAAATTCTGAGACACTTACTTTAATTTTATCTGCTAAAGCTGATGTTATAATGATTTCTCTTTCCCCTTCATCATACATTTGAAAAATAAGATTATGCATAATATCGCCTGCTATCCAATTAACCTCATCCTGATGTTTGATCTGGATTGCCTTTTGTCCTTCCACACTGAATATCTGTAATCTTGCAACATGGCTACTAGGAAGCAATTTAATAGTCTTTTCCACAGGTGCCACATCTTTACAACTCTAGGAAGAGAGGAAAACACAAATGTATATCGGATGACATCTATACTGCAAACATATTTTTTGCTTTTAGTGGTGAGTCTTTTACAACATTTGCTTAATTTATTTCCAATATTATGGAAGCTTATCTTATATACTGTTAACATTCATAAGTTTTGCATTAAGAGGACACTGTACTTCCACATTTTATATCATTAAGTTATAAATGATAGGGACAACATTCTTAAAACCAAAACCAGCATATTTAGACTTAAAAAGATTTCCCTCCCCTTACCTGTATATTTACCTCAAATTATTGAAAATATGTGAAATTTTAACCATATGACAGAGATCTGGTAGTTAGCATTTACTAATAAGAATAAAGATATACAAAATTAAGAACTTTCCATAAAATCAGAAACAAATAATTTCTGTAAAATACATTATTTACCCTGAAGCTTCTAGTGCTTTTTGAATTCATTGTACACTGGTAAGTGAACAAGCTAGATAAGGACTCCAGATGCCCTGAAGGCTGAGCTGTCATATTTACAATTTATTACAGGTACATCAGTGTTTCACAGTTCAGTAAAGATGAGCTGGTCTGGATTATGCTACATAAATTGATTTTAGGCATACAAAATTAAAACATCATTTCATAATCCAGGTATAGTGCACTCCACAGGATACACAAAATTCAAATTAAACCTAAAGTCTACACATCTTTACAATCTTACACAATCATGTCTCCTTCCTCAACCAGTTGCAGTCATTCCTACTGAAGCCCAAATATATAAATAAAGACATATTAAAAACCTACCTCACAGAATATCAAGCCAATAACCCATCTTCTATTCTGAGCCTATTGTATTTACCCGACTCAAATTCAAGAGTCACTGCCTTTGGATAACATTTTCTAATTCTGTGTTATAGAATATCCCTTGGTCTTTGTCTTACCTAACCTGAATTTTCAGTCTTCTGCTTATTGTTGCTCTGTGGTATTTACATAATTCCTAATGCTTGTTACTTTTGCTTCCAAGCTCAGATTCCTCCCTAACTCCAAGTCTTTTCTTCTTGATCTTTTTGCAAGATAGTATGCTCAAAATTACGAGGCCCACATTACTGAATAAAGGAAATGCAAACATTATTTGAAGATTATCAAATATAACTAGCTTGAATAGAACAGAATTAGAATTATCACCTCATTCTAATTTAAAAAATAAAAGATGTCTTTTACTCTTTTGAGGTTCAAGATATGTCAACTAATATATAATTATAAAAAAGCATTAGCTAATCAACTGATTAGGTTATTAATCATCTACACCAATTCTGAAGAAACCACATTTAAATATTTTACTTGTTTAAGTACTTGTTATCCCATTCAGCAATCTAAGAGATCAATTGTTCATATAAACTGCTTGCCCTCTTCCAGGCTGACTTTGCCTTCAGTCATGATGTATATTAATATAAAAATCTCTTAATAGGAAAATACTAATAAAAAACATGTATTTATTTAAAAATTATAATACAAATTAAATGTTTATATGTCCTTCAGTGGTGTCATAAGTGGGGAAATTTACCAAACAATCAGGAATATGTAATCAACAAGAGCCATAGATATTATAGAAGGTTTGATCAAGAAAATTACTAATACAAAATGTTATTCACTATACTATTTCATACTGCCTTTTCTTCCTTTTGGCTAAAAGAACCACAAATACCTCATTTTAAAAGTCAAACAATGTTACATAAAATATTATAAAGCTGCTAAAGAATATCTGTATGAAGACTCAAATATCAACGAATAACAATAGAAACTTACAGGTATTTCAATTTTTGCTTTAAGCATCTGATCTTTTTTAATGTTCTGAACTTGGATTGCAGATCCTGATAAAATACTGGTTCCAGAACTACTGCAATCCACAACATAGACGGGAAGGTTTGGAGCACCTGAAAACTATTGGAAGCATACAAAATAATTTAAGACCCCAATCAAACATACTGATTATTAATAATCCTTAAATTTTCAAATAATTCATAGAGCTACTACTTCTAGGTATAAATTGGAAAATTCTAAACAGAATTCACCTAAATTCACTAAACTCTAGAGAATTTTTCAATGAAAAAAATAATTTTCTACAACTCTAAGTAAAATGTTATCTCTTACTGATAAACACCCACTTTACTGAAGAAATACCCACTTTCTCCACCACTAGTCTGTTTTAAGTTTACCAATTTGGGTTTCCCTTTCCTTTATTGTGGTCTTTAACTCAACTTTATTTTTCAATCTATCGCCAATCCTAAAGACATTTCTATCACTCTATTCATAAATTAAATACTTCATCAAAATGCGGGGAATGGGCCAAGAAAGGAGTTGTCTTCACAAATCTCTTTATGAAACTGAGTGTAGCTGGCATCTTTATTGGCTTAGGGATGCAGAAAACTGTTGGCAATGAGGTATCTCATATATTTCTCCAAGGAATAATCACTGAAGACCTAGAAGCAGTATAAAGCTAACTATAAAGAAGCTAAAAGATATACTCATGTGCATATACTACCAAGGGACACAAAATAAAATCTGCATGCTCTCATCTTACAATAGCTTACCTTACAATGAACAATCAATTTTGGTTGTGTTGTTATATTGTCTGATTCATCCAAAACTTCTACCTGAAATGGGAAAGCTGTTCCATTTTCTATAACTAAAATTTCAGAATCAGGTTTCACTTTCAATCGATGAGGGGGACCTACCAGAAAATTATATGATGAAATACAGACTCAGGTTTGAAGGGCTGAAATACTGAAATAACAAAAAACAAAACAGCTTTTTACAGAAATTTAGTCTGATAAATGATGCCAAGAATGGAAAAATAAACATTACCCATGTTTACTCATTTCTATCCTCAAAATTCATACATTCTATACATGCCCAGTAGTCTCAATTAAATAAAATGTTTGATGACTACACTCAGCTTATGTGACAAACTATGACATAGTGATAACACATGATAGAAATCACCTTAACACGTAAAATCTTAAAGATCTAGAAAAAGGTATTCAAGAAATAAAACTTTATTAAACTAGTTTTGTACTTCCTAACATTAATGTTACACAATGACTGATTTTTTTTGACATTTATATTTCTCCTTCAATACATATTTCATTCAATTTCTGTACAGTTTTATACTAATTAATGTATATCTGGAAGGGTACAGATATTCCTTCTTTCTCTGCAAATATGCTTTAAACATTTGGTTTGTTCAGTTTTTATTTTTTAAATATTTTTATTAAGGTATGATTGATATACACTCTTAAGAAGGTTTCACATGAAAAACAATGTGGTTACTACATTTACCCATATTATCAAGTCCCCACCCACACCCCAGTGCAGTCACTGTCCATCAGTGCAGCAAGATGCCGCAGATCAACTATGTGCCTTCTCTGTGCTACACTGTTCTCCCCGTGATCCCCCACACCATGTGTACCAAACATAATATCCCTCAATCCCCTTCTCCCTCCCTCCCCACCTGCCATCCCACACCCCTCCCCTTTGGTAAACACTAGTTCATTCTTGGAGTCTCTGAGTCTGCTGCTATTTTGTTCCTTCAGTTTTGCTTCATTGTTATACTCCACAAATGAGGGAAATCATTCATCATTTGTCTTTCTCCACCTGGCTTATTTCATTGAGCATAATATCCTCCAGCTCCATCCATGTTGCTGCAAATGGTAGAATTTGTTTCTTTCTTATGGCTGAATAGTATTCCATTGTGTATACTTACCACCTCTGCTTTATCCACTCCTCTACTGATGGACACTTAGGCTGCTTCCATATTTTGGCTATTATAAAAAGTTCTGGGATAAAAATAGAGGTGCATATGTCTTTTTGAATCTGAGACAGTGCATTCTTTGGGTAAATTTCAAGGAGTGGGATTCCCGGGTCAAATGGCATTTCTATTTTCAGTTTTTTGAGCAACCTCCATATTTCTTTCCATAATGGTTGAACTAGCTTACATTCCCACCAGCAGTGTAGGAGGGTTCCTCTTTCTCCACATCCTTGCCAGCATTTGCTGTTCTTAAGTCTTTTCGATGCTGGACATCCTTACTGGTGTAAGGTGATATCTCATTGTGGTTTTAATTTGCATTTCCCTGATGATTAGTGATGTGGAGCATCTTTTCATGTGTCTGTTGGCTATCTGAATTTCTTCCTTGGAGAACTGTCTCTTCATATCCTCTGCCCATTTGTTAATCGGGTTACCTGCTTTCTGGGTGCTAAGGCATGTAAGTTCTTTATATATTTTGGATGTTTACCCCTTGTTGGATATGTCATTTACAAATATATTCTCCCATACTGTAGGATGCCTTTTTGTTCTGTTGATGGTGTCCTTTGCCATACAGAAACTTTTTACTTTGATGTAGTCCCCTATGAGTTCATTTTTACTTTTGTTTCCTATGCTCAAGGAAATGCGTTCACGAAGAAGTTGCTCATGCTTATATTCAGGAGATGTTTGCCTATGTGGTCTACTAAGAGTTTTATGATTTCATGACTTACATTCAAGTCTTTAATTCATTTCAAGTTTACTTTTGTGTTTGGCATTACACAATAATCCAGTTTCATTCTCTTGCATGTAGCTGTCCAGCTTTGCCAACACCAGCTGTTGAAGAGGCTGTCTTTTCCCCACTGTATGTCCATGAATCATTTATCATATATTAATTGACCATATATGGTTGGGTTTATATCAGGGCTCTCTATAGTCTGTTCCATTGGTCTATGGGTCTGTTCTTCTGCCAGTACCAAATTATCTTGATTACTGTGGCTTTGTAGTAGAGCTTGAAGTTGGGGAGTGTAATGGCCCCAGCTTTATTCTTCCTTCTCAGAACTGCTTTGGCTATTCAAGGTCTTTTGTGGATCCATATGAATTTTAGAACGATTTTCTCTAGTTCATTGAAGAATGCTGCTGGTATTTTGATGCACTCAACCTATAGACTGCTTCAGGCAAGATGGCCATTTTGACAATATTAATTCTTCCTATCCATGAGCATGGGATGAGTTTCCATTTATTGATATCTTTTTTAATTTCTCTTAAGAGTGTCTTATAGTTTTCAGGGTATAGGTCTTTCACTTCCTTGGTTAGGTTTATTCCTAGGTATTTTATTCTTTTTGATGCAACTGTGAATGGAATTGTTTTCCTGATTTCTCTTTCTGCTAGTTCATTGTTAGTGTATAGGAATGCAACAGATTTCTGTGTATTAATTTTGTATCCTGCAACTTTGCTCAATTCAGATATTAGATCTAGTAGTTTTGGGGTGTATTCTTTAGGGTTTTTTATGTACAATATCATGTTACCTGCAAACAGGGACAGTTTAACTTCTTCCTTGCCAATCTGGATGCGTTTTATTTCTTTGTGTTGTTTGATTGCCATGGCTAGGACCTCCAGTACTATGTTGAATAGAAGTGGGGAAAGTGGGCATACTTGTCTTGTTCCCCATCTTAAAGGAAAAGCTTTCAGTTTCTTGCTGATAAGTATGATGTTGGCTGTGGGTTTGTCATATATGGCCTTTATTATGTTGAGGTACCTGCCCTCTATACCCATTTTGTTGAGAGTTTTTATCATGAATGGATATTGAATTTTGTCAAATGCTTTTTCAGCATCTATGGCGATGATCATATGGTTTTTGCCCTTCTTTTTGTTGATGTGGTGGATGATGTTGGTGGATTTTTGAATGTTGTACCATCCTTACATCCCTGGAATAAATCCTACTTGATCATGATGGATGATCTTTTGATGTATTTTTGAATTCGGTTTGCTAATATTTTGTTGTGTATTTTTGCATCTATGTTCCTCAGGGATATTGGTCTGTAATTTTCTTTTTTTCTGTTGTCTTTGCCTGGTTTTGGTATTAGAGTGATGCTGGCTTCATAGAATGAATTTGGAAGCATTCTCTTTTCATCTACTCTTTGGAAAACTTTAAGGAGGATGGGTATTAGGTATTCACTAAATGTTTGATAAAATTATGCAGTGAAGCCATCTGGTCCAGCAGTTTTGTTCTTAGGTAGTTTTTTGATAACCAGTTCAATTTCGTTGCTGGTAATCGGTCTGTTTAGATATTCTGTTTCTTCCTTGGTCAGCCTTGGAAAGTTGTATTTTTCTAGAAAGTGGTCCATTTCTTCTAGGTTATCCAGTTTATTAGCATATACTTTCTCATAATATTCTCTAGTAATTCTTTGTATTTCTGTGCTGTCTATAGTGATTTTTCCTTTCTCATTTCTGATTCTGTTTATATGTGTAGACTCTCTTTTTTTCTTGATAAGTCTGGCTATGGGTTTATCTATTTTGTTTATTTTCTTGAAGAACCAGCTCTTGCTTTCATTGATTCTTTGTATTGTTTTATGCTTCTTGATTTTATTTATTTCTGCTCTAATCTTTAGTATATCCCTCCTTCTACTGACTTTGGGCCTCATTTGTTCTTCTTTTTCTAGTTTCATAAATTGTGAGTTTAGACTGCTTATATGGGATTGTTCTTCTTTCTGGAGGGAGGCCTCTGTTGCAATATACTTTCCTCTTAGCACGGCCTTGGCTGTGTCCTACAGATTTTGCGGTGTTGAATTACTGTTGTCATTTGTCTCCATATACTGCTTGATCTCTGTTTTTATTTGGTCATTGATTCACTGGTTATTTAGGAGCATGTTGTGAAGCCTCCGTGTGTTTGTGGGATTTTTCATTTTCTTTGCATAATTTATTTCTAGTTTCATACCTTTGTGGTCTGAGAAACTGCTTGGTACAATTTCAATCTTTTTCAATTTACTGAGGCTCTTTTTGTGGCCTAGTGTATGATCTATTCTTGAAAATGTTCCATGTGCACTTGAGAAGAATATGTATTCTGCTGCTTTTGGGTGTAGAGTTCTGCAGATGTCTGTTACGTCCATCTGTTCCAATATGTTGTTCAGTGCCTCTGTGTCCTTACTTATTTTCTGTCTGGTTGATCTGTCCTTCAGAGTGAGTGGAGTTTTGAAGTCTCCTAGAATGAATGCATTGCATTCTATTTCCCCTTTTAATTCAGTTAGTATTTGTTTCACATATGTAGGTGCCCCTGTGTCAGGAGCATAGATATTTATAATAGTTATATCTTCTTGTTGGATTGACCCATTAATCATTATGTAATGTTCTTCTTTGTCTCTTGTGACTTTCTTTGTTTTGAAGTCTATTTTGTCTGATACAAGTACTGCAACTCCTGATTTTTTCTATTAGTTGCATGAAATATGTTTTTCCATTCCTTCACTTAGTCTGTGTATGTCTTTGGGTTTGACGTGAGTCACTTAGTCTGTGTATGTCTTTGGGTTTGACGTGAGTCTCTTGTAGGCAGGATATAGATGGGCCTTGTTTTTTAATCCATTCAGTGACTCTATGTCTTTTGATTGGTGTATGCAGTCCATTTACATTTAGGGTGATTATCGATAGGTAAGTACTTATTGCCGTTGCAGACTTTAGATTTCTGGTTACCAAAGGTTCAAGGTTAAGTTCCTTACTATCTAAGAGTCTAACTGGCTATTACAAACTTGGTATTAATATGCTATTACAAACACAATGTAAGAGTTCTTTTCTTTTTCTCCCTCTTCCATTATTTATATATTAGGTATCATATTCTATACTCTTTGTCTACCCCTTGTTTGACTTTGGGGATAGTTAATTTAATTTTGCATTTGCTTAGTAGCTGTTCTACTTTCTTTACTGTGGTTTTATTACCTCTG